GCTCACAGCCACCCCAGCGTCCGCCTGCCGGGCTCCGGCCACCCTCCCGCCTCAGCCTTCCCAGCAGCTGGAGCCACAGGCGTGCGCCACCACGCCCGGCTGGGTTTTTGATTGACTGTGGAGACGGGGGCTCGCCAAGTTGCCCAGGTGGGTCTCGAGCCCCTGGACTCGCGTAATCCTCTCACCTCGGCCTCCCAAAGTGCTGGGATGACAGGCTGAGCCACCCCGCCCGGCTGGCTTTTAGATCTCCTAAAGCTCCCCCGAGAATGTTCAGGGGCAGCCACGGCTAAGGAACACCGGTCAGGAAGCAGCGACGAGACGCAAGGTCACTTCCCCTGCGTCAAGTCCAGGGGCTCACGGGCAGGAGGGCGGAAGTCTGGCCTGCACTGGCGGGAATGCCGTTGCTTCGAAGCAGCAGATCTAGGTACCCTCTCCCATCCACAGTACTGGAAATACTAGGGGGACACAACAAAGCAGAATTTATATATTAAAAAAGAAACTGTGTATTTGGCTGTGCACGATGACTCATGCATGCAATCCCAGCGCTTTGGGAGGCAGAGGTGAGAGGATTGTCTGAGCCCAAGGGTTCGAGACCGGCCTGGGCAACTTGGCAAGACCTTGTCTCTACAATAAATCAAAAAATTATTCCGATGTGGTGGTGTGCACCTGTAGTTCCATCTACTTGGAAGGCTGAGGCAGAAGGATCACCTGAACCCAGAAGGCCGAGGCTGCCGTGAGCCATGGGCATACCACTGCACTCCAGCTTAGGCAACAGAGTGAGACTCTGCCTCAAGAAGGAGAAAAGCTGGGTATTCATTCTTACATGTGTAAACTTCAGTCGCCTTCGAAGTCCTCTCTGTTTGATGCAATACCCCTATTGAGATGCCTTTTCCCCTGCTCAGAACAGTTTTTAAACTCATCAATTTTCTTGCCTTTTTTTTTTGAGTTGGAATCTCACTCTGTCACCTTTTTACCCTGATTCATCAGTGCCAGATTATTTCTATGCTTCCTGCCTCAGACTGTATCCTTCAGGAAAACAAAGTCATTATAAGAATCATGGGATAAGGTATTTGTTATGGGAATTACATTTTTTTTTTTTTTGAGTTGGAGTTTCACTCCGTCGCCCAGCGTGGAGTGCAGTGGCCGCTCCCGGCCACCGCAGCCTCGACCTGCTGGGCTCCGGCGATCCTTCCACCTCAGCCTTCCGAGTAGCCGGAATTACAGGCGCTTGCTACCACGCCCGGCTAATTTTTTTATTTTATTGTAGAGATGAGGTCTCGGACCAGCGGGCTCAGGCAATCCACTCACCTCAGCCTCCCAAAGGCGCGGGATTACAGGCTGAGCCACCGAGCCCAGCTGGGAATGACATTGTACAAATGTGGGAGGAACTGGGAAAGTGCAGGCCTGGGAGGAGAGAACTGAGGGTCAGAGATGACGGGCGAGGGGCCAAGGTCCAGCCCGCTCGACCGAGGATGCCCGCCAGGGTCGGGGAAGCACTGGCATGGGGGCGGATTGACGCTCCCCGGGGAGCCTGGGAGCCCAGACGTGCCCAGCTGCCGAGCTGAGCCACAGGGGACAGCTCTCTGGAGAGCGACGGAGCTGCTGCGCGTGGAAACTTCTGCTGGTGTGACGCGCCCCCCTCGAGCGTGCCGGCTGGGGCCCACGGGGGCCTGGGACTGCTGGGGGTCCCCAGAGCCCACAGTCGGGAAGGTGCTGCAGGGTGGAGGGCGGGGGGCCGGCCGAGCTGCTGGCACTTCTGTGTGTCCGTCCTTGGCCGTGGCCCACCGGGACGACCTCCCGGGAAGCTCGGCTTCTGGCCTCTTCTGGCCAACTCTCACCTGGAAGGCGAGTCCCAGCCTCGCAACCTTGGCTGCTTTGGGCTCCCGAGGTGTGCGTGAACAGCAAGTTGCTGGCGCGCAGGCGGAACTGAGCATGGATTACATGCGAAAGAAACGGCAAGTCCGCTTATACTGCAGAGGAGAAGCAGAGTAAAACTCGTCCTGAGACACGAAAGTATTTCACAAATCCCTTCCAATGCACTTGGATACGGCTCGTAGTTCCTGGAACCTCGAGGTCGTCCTGTTATCTTATTCACAGACGGTGACTAAGTGAAGTCCATACACAGAATGTGTAGAGGACGAGAATCTGTCAGTGCACGAAGGGGACTCTCGGAATCACCTTCTGAAGGGCAGCCCCGGCAGCCCAGGGGCTAGGCTAGCTCCCCCGCGAGGCGAGTGTTCCAGGAACCCACGGGCACTAGTGGACCAGCTCGCGTTGCTGTGAGAGGCTGCGTGCAGCTTTGGCGATTTTTTTGGTTTGTTTTTCGAGGTGGAGTCTCGCCGTGTCGCCCAGGCGCGAGTGCAGTTTTTGGAGATCCTTTCAGCGCGTTGGCCCGTTTCGTGACAGGCGATCTCGGATGCAGCTGCGGACACCGCGCCGAGTGTCCAGCAGTTTCTGCCCAAGACGGGCATGACCCCCACGCCCCACCTTCCCGAGTCACCCGAGCCCTCCTCGATCCACCTTTTCTGTCTGTTTCCTTGGGTGGCAAAAGTCCTCGGAGGGAGACGTCTTGCAGCTGTGGAAGAGGTGGAACCAAAAGCGGCAGCAGCACTGCAAGGCTGGAAAGCCGCTGGGAGCAGCGGCTCGGTCTGGCTTCCCAGCACTTTGGGAGGCAGAGGCGAGAGGGCCGCCCGGGTCCAGGGCTTCGAGACCCGCCTGGGCAGCTTGGCGAGACGGCATCTCGACACAAAATCTGAAAGTTAGCCAGATGTGGCGGCACACGCCTGTAGTTCCAGCTCCGGCAGAAGGATTGCCAGAGCCCAGCAGGTTGCTGCCCTGGCCGTGAGTGTGCCACTGCCCTCCAGCCTGGGCAGTGGAGTGAGACTCCAACTCAAAAACAAAATAGCGCTCACCTCACAAGCAATGAGCGTGTGGGAGAGGAGCGACATTCTGAATTCTGTGAGCAGCTGCAGAGGGAGCCAAGTGGATGTTGTTGCTGAGCACAGAAAGGAGAAAAGAACCTTCCAGGCCTCGGCGAAACAGCCAGGAAAGAGTGAAAGAGAACTAGGGACAGAGGCAGGAGCCAGAGTCGTCCCAGGTCGCCTCCGACGGGCCCTGGGTGACTCCGTCGGCACGGTTTCCTCGTCAGTGTGATCTGGCATTGTTCCCACAAGTTCACCCCCAAAAGTTCCCTTTCTGCTGTGCAACACTGCAGAGACTTCTGCTACCCAGAGTTTTGTTTTGTTTCTTAATTCTTAAAAGCTTTAAGTGCGGGTGCAAATAAACTAGAATTTATCTTTTCATTTTCAAGCCTGAATTTTTCACGCAGTTGTAAAATTGGACATTCTCAAAATGAGAGTTTAGCCTCTGAGGACGGAGGCGCTGATGGAAGTGTCACAAGGGCGGAGATGAATGATCTGTGACGTCCCCTCCGGTCCTAACGTCACTCCCTGGGAGAGCGATGCCAGGACTCGCTGAACGTGTCACTGCTTGACAGGCAGCCGCGTTCGTGGCTGAGTCTGGGCGTGTGGTTCATGTCTGTTTCTTCCTCCCGTTTCTAGGAGAAGAGAGAAGGCAGACCCGGCAACTGCAGGGGTAAGAGGTGGTCCTGGCTGCCCCACCAGGAAGCCGTTTCTCACACGTCTCTAGGACGAGGTGCCTGGCGTTTTCCAGAGCCGGCCGTAGAAAACACGCGAGCGGCGGCCCCTGACTCCGACTGGGTGAGCAGTGGAGTCTGGCAGACTCAGAGAATACCAGGAGGACATGGTCCTGCCTGGACAGAAAGCAGGACACAGCCTGGCTCTGCACACGTGCCCGGGCTGAGACTCCAGCGTTGAAGCCTGTGAGTACAGCAGATAGACATTTTTCCCCCAAGAATTTACAGTGCTTCTTTGCAATTTATAGCCTCAGCAAAATTTGTTTATTACATTTCGCCAAAATTTCTGTTTATTAAATTTCAACAAAAAATTTCTGTTTATTAAATCTGTTTCTGTTAAACCTCTAACTTTGTGGGAAAATATTTATAAATGGCAGTTTTGGATTTTTTGTTTTATTTTGGGTTTTTTAATTTTGTGTATTACAGTTTGGTGTGATAGCGATTCCAAAAATTACCACACCTCACCAAATGGCACCGACAGCAGCAGTATTAATAGAACAAAAGGTCACCTCTCTGTGACTGGTGGGTTAACTGGCTCTTCCAGATGTCACGTGTGGAACTTTGTCACACGGAAAAAACATGGTATCATTCACTAAAAGGCAATGACTCAAAATTAGAAATTAAAAGTTTTAAGAAAACACAAGGCCATGCACAGTGGCCTGAAATTCTAGCACTTTGCAAGGCTGAGACGAGAGGATAGTTTGGGCCCAGGAGTTCAAGACCAGCCTGGGCAACATAACGAGACCTGGTCTCTACAAAAAACAAACCCAGAAAATTAGCTGTGCATGGGGGCACGCGCCTGTAGTTGCAGCTACTCTGGAGGCTGAGACAGAATTGCCTGAGCGCAGGAGGTCGAGGCTTAGTGAGCCATGATCGTGCCACTGCACTCCAGCCTGGGTGACAGTGAGACCCCGACTCAAAAAAAAAAAAAAGGAAAACACATTAGTTGGCCTTTTGTTAATGACACTGCTGAATTCCGATTCCTTCACATAATTAGTTTTGTGACACCTGACATAATGAGAGATGAGCTGACATATGTTGGACACTTCTCAAGGGCCAAATGCTGTGATCCACAGAATACACCGTATTCTGGAGGGCAGTGGCATGATCATGGCTCGCCACAGCCTCGACCTCCTGGGCTGAGGTGAGGCATCCACCTCTGCCCCAAAGTAGCTGGGACTACAGGCACACCCCACCATGCTTGGCTAATTTTTTTATGTTTGTAGAGATGAGGTCTTGCGATGTTATCCAGCCTGGTCTTGAACTCCTGGGCTTAGGCAGTCCTGTTGCCTCAGCCTCCCGGAATTGTGGGATTACAGGTATGCACCACCACACACAGCCCTGTGCATATACTTTTATTTAATCCAACCGGCCAACCCAGCCACGGGTCCTTTCTTTCTTTTTTCTGAGTTGAAGTTTTACTCTGTCGCCCAGGCTGGAATGCAGTGACACCCTCACAGCCACCGGGCGTCAACCCACTGGGCTCTGGCGATCCTTCCACCTCAGTTTTCCAAGTAGCTGGAACAACAGGCGCGCGTTACCATGCCCGGCTAGTTTTTGATTTATTGTAGAGGTGAGGTCTGGCCAAGTTGCCCGGGCTGGTCTCAAACCCGCAGGCTCAGGCAATTCACTCTCCCCGGCCTCTCAAAGTGCTGAATGACAGGCTAAGCCACCAAGCCCGGCCTGGGTCCTTTCATCTGCAGTTTACAGAGGAGAAATCGGAGGCTTAAAGACGGCAAACCTAGCCAAGGTCACGTAGTGAGTCAGTGACAGAATCGAGATTCAGACTCCTGTCTGGCTCCACACCCACGCCCTTTCTGCTACACCATGTTGGTAGAAATGGAATGAGTGGACGAAATGAAGGAACAAAGAAAAAGTGAAAAAAGTTCGTGAGAAACCAACCTAATAAAATAAAACATTATGTGCTTTCCTGTATTTTGGGCTTAAGAATAGGATTTAGGAAGGCCACAGAAAATGCAGGGCTTAGATTTTAACAGAGAGAGTGGCCTACTTGTAAATATTCTGAGAATTTCTTTATGTCATCAAGAAAAAATTCTGTGAATTGAGACATGATTTATAAAACGCCATTCCAGTGGGGTAAGCAGGCCAGAGGAGTGTGTCAAGTTGTGTGTAAAGCATTCCAGGCCCCTCAGCGAAAACTCACTCTCAAGAAAAGCGAGGCGAGGATTTCTGTGTATGCACAAATGTGCATGTACACGACAGCAGACTGCATGTCAGGCCAGCTCACAGTGAATAATCCCCGACTTTAATACCTTTATTTGTGCACCAAAGAACGCCTCCACAGACAAGGGATGGTTGCAAACCACTGAAGTCCAAAGTCAGGATAAGCTTAAAGAAAAAAAAAGCTTAGCTAGTAAACTGGTTAAACCGGATGAAATTTGTGTTTTTCCAGTCCTTCTACATTATGACATTTCCCTTTTATGAAACTACAGTATGCCCAGAATTCTCAGGCAGTGCTGGCCATGGCTTCTCCCCAAAAGATGTTAGAATATTGGTAGAAGCAGAATAGGTTCATTAAAAGCGGCACAGGTGGGCCGGGCACGGTGGCTCAAGCCTGTCATCCCAGCACTTTGGGGGGCCGAGACGATAGGATTGCCTAAGCCCAGGGGTTCGAGACCAGCACAGGCAACTTGGCGAGACCTCGTCTCTAGAATAAATGAAAAAAAATAAGCTGGGCATGGTAGCGCTCACTTGCCGACTATTTGGGAGGCAGAGGTGGAGGATTGCCTGAGTCCAGCGACTCCAACTCAAAAAAAAAAAAGCGGCACAAGTGGAAAGATCAGCAGGGAGTCAGGATTATTTGTGAATTGACGTGGAAGAAAATAGGATTTGCATGCTATGAAAGTTAAAATACATGAGAATGTAATCGATATAGGTAAAGAGTGTAAGAAAAACAGTGCCCTTACCCACTAAATCTTCAAGTTCTAAGAAAAAAATAATCCTCTTTCAAATTTGAACTAAATTTAGAGGAAATCAAAGAAAGTATCCATTTCCTGAGTGAATCAACTTATAAAAGAGATAGAGATGCTACTCTCTTGGGCAGAAGGTAGAAAATAACCTAAAGAAAAGTCTAGATACATTTGGGAAGGGCAAGCCTTCTACTAACTGTTAAGAGAAGCTTGGACAGCCTTCTCCTGTAAGACCGGCATCAGGGAAGATTCCCAGGACCTCATTTTAAATCCATGTTGGCAATAAAACGCACCCGAATGGCAGTGCCCCGTTCCTGTGAATGTTGCCTTTTGCAAAAACGGCACTGTGCGCGACCATAAGCATACACGCACTTACAGGTATGTATTTTGATAATCGCAGTACTAAATTTTGTCAATGTCATGCAGTTTATCCTTTTCAATAAAAATGCTTCATGAAACACGTAGCTAAATGTGACTTCGTTTCTTTCGACACTGAGAATCCTGTCACTCACTGGTCACGGCACAGGCACAGATTCGCTCCAGAACTGCTGATCCACACACCTGTGAGAAGCAACTTTGCCAGCCAAAGTGCAAGCTTTTGCCATTCTTTCGACTCTAGCCTTCCTGGTTCCGTTCATCGTGTTTCCAAGGTTACTAGGGTCAGCTCTTGTCTTTCCCAGCCCTTTGGCATGGTTTTCCTCCCTCATTTTACTATTTGCTAATCTATTTTACTCGATTTATTTGTCACATGCATTCCAGGTTGGAGGCCCCCAACCTCTTGCTGCTATTTTTTTAAATTTGCACACAGGTAACTTTATTCACGCCTTATGACCTGCAGTTCTGTCGGTGTTGGCAAATGCATAGCACTGCATGTCCCCCACAACTGTACCATAGCCAGCCCAGCAGGCCACAAATCCCCTCAGGCCGCCCTGAGCTACCACTGACCCCGTTTTTGTTTCTAGAGTGTTGCCTTTTCCAGAAAGGGGGAAGTTAGATAAAACCTGCTTGCTGGCTAAAACTGGGGGCATGTCGAGGGGTCTCGTCACTCTATGCTGCTCAGTGACCATGTGGAATCCGAGGTTAAACTTCTCATGCCAGAAGCAGGGCTCGGCCACCCTTGTCCAGTTTCCAGTTGGGCACCATGCCCAAATGGCTCACACCGAGGCCAGGGACAAGCACTCTTGTGCCAGCCCTAGTCCAGGCTGGTCTCCCTCTACTCTTGTGCCAGCCCTAGTCCAGGCTGGTCTCCCTCTTCCTCACCTCTTCCTGTGAACGGACCCTTCAGGAATTTGCTTGCAAACATTTTTATTTTTTGAGTTGGAGTCTCACTCGGTCGCCCAGACTGGAGTGCAGTGGCCGCTCCCGGCCACCGCAGCCTCGACCCACTTGGCTCCGGCGATCTTTCCGCCTCAGCCTTTTAAGTAACTGGAACTACAGGGGCGCGCTACCACGCCCGGCTAATTTTTATTTATTGTAGAGGTGAGGTCTCGCTGCCCAGGCGGGTCTCGAACCCGCGGGCTCAGGCAATCCACTCACCTCGGCCTCCCAAAGGCGCGGGATGACAGGCTGAGCCACCGAGCCCGGCTTGCTTGCAAACTTGAAGTGACCCACCTGTTCCCTTCAACACGCTTCTGGCAGCCACGCACACTCTGCTTGATGCCTCATTCCTGGCCACGTGACCTGGGTGGAGACTGTCCTCCTGGCTCATGCCCTCTGTCAGGAGACGTTTTTGCACTTGTTTCCTCTTGGGTTGGAGTATTGAACTTGCCCTTTTCATCTGAAGAGCCACGGACTGCCCCAAGCCTTATTTTCTCCCACTTGGGGAGACCACAGGCCCGGACTCTCAGCACCAAAGCAAGGGTGAGACAGGCACACACTGGACATGGGTCAGATCAGACCACGAGGGCGTCTGCCAACAAAAACACATTTCCCATGCGAGGGACCCCCAGTCACGGGTCAGACAAGTAGGCACTAGGCCATATTGCAGGTTAAAGAAATATCCCTCGCCAGGTGCAGTGGCTCACGCCTGTCATCTCAGCACTTTGGGAGGCTGGGGCAGGAGAATTGCTTGAGCCCAGGAGTTCAAGACCAGCTTGGACAACACAGCGAGACTTCATCTCTACAAAAAATTAGCCAGGTGTGGTGGCACGCACCTCTAGTCCCAGGTACTTGGACGGCCGAGGCACAAGGATCACCCAAACCCAGGAGGTCAAGGTTGCGGTGAGCCATGATTGTGCCACTGTACTCCAGTCTGGGTGAAGAAGGGATATTCAAAAAAAAGAAAATTAAACTTTTTATAAGTATGACTAAGATGAACAAATAACAAAAACTTTTATAAACAAATGCAGCTTCCATCTGTTTATAAAAGCGCCGTCAAGGTACCAGGCCCTGTAGCACAGCTAGAGAAAACAAAAG